TAAAAAAAAAAAAAAAAAAAAAAAATAAAAGATTTTTATAGAAGACTTCTGTTCCATGATGTAAGAGAACCAAGCCTCAGGGACATCAAGTAATTGATAAAATAAGATATTTATTTTTGGTAATCTTTATGTTTCAAAAAGCATAAACGTCAAAACAGTATCATCTAAATTTTTGTATGAATTGAAATACAATCAATTATTATAAATACATTCACGATAGTTGTTAAAATTATTTATCATTTTAACAAATAATTTGAATGACCGATGTTTTTATTCCAATGACATCCAGAAAAAGAAAAATTTAGTAGAGTCTACTAAGACTTCTGGTAGTAATAACCATGTAACTTTGGTGATAGTAGTACTGTAGGTGTAGTTAGTACCATATACCTGACAGCCTTAGTAATCTGGATAATCACTACAGAAGCATCTAGTAAGTCTTGTACTTAGCTGTCACCAGTAATATTTCTACGTGCTTGTAGTTTTTATCTCTAAATAAGGATAGTGGACTTTTTTTAAATATGATAAAATTTTTATTTTAAGTCACACAAATACAAATTATGAATTTATAATGTATCGCATGCTCAGTTGTCAGAAAATAGAAACTTCAATAACATGCACATTAAAAGTAAACGTCAAAATGCTTTCTATCGACGTATCCATAAAACGAAAAGAGAACAAAAACGCGTGCCTGTCGTCCTTGTACCGGAAATAGTGAAACGCGAAGAATCCTCCAAAACATTCGCTCGGATGAATTGATAAATTTTTCATACAAAATTTTTCCGAAAGACTAGCTTCAATGCAATGCTTTTTTTCACTTTTTAAGGGCGCACTGCTGCATTTTCTCGCAGCTCTTGGAGATAAGACTCAAACCATAGTCTGCACTTAGCGACAAGATCCTTGCCGATCGATTTAACCCACAAGGTTGAACGAATCAGAGGAAAAGTGTACTTGAAAGATGTCATTATTTTCCAGTATTGCAAGCGCTTTTCGAGACACTTTACGGCAGAAATGCATGTGAATCAATAGTCATACTATTGACGTACGTAAAGTCGCTACCCCCTGCAGTTAAATTGTCAACGATGTTGACGTGTATAGAATCACCATGCTATAATCCGTTTTCAACTTGACTTGGGAGTTGTGACGCTACATCTGTCTAGGATACGAGTTATAAATATGTTGCAATAATTCATTCTTGACATAAATTTATCGAGCTTTTCCGTTTGTGTTTTTTTACGCAAACAAAAATTTTATATTGGGTAAAAGCCGTTGCATGTGTTTCACAACGTCAAGCATTTTGAATATCAAATATGAATCAATAATAGGTACACTCGCTGTTCAAAATTTTACATTCAATAAAGGAAAAAATAAAGGGTTCGGCAGTTTTTCTCTATATTTCATAATACTAATCTACTCAAGTGTAACCTCTTTGGGAGCTCCGATATAATTTTAGGAGATGTCTCGAACAGATTAGGTGTACCGAACAACAAGATTTTTATTCCACATTAGTGTGAAAATAATCCAAACTTTTACTAGAAAAGACAAGATATTTTCTTATCAATGAATCAATCACCACTACACGTAACAACGACGAGGAAAAAATGAAATACATGAAGCCGATAGACATTGAAGCCTAAAGCCCTTATTTTTGAATGTTAAAAATCACGGAAGTCAATGGAAGTGAGAAAGTAGATATGAAAGCGTTATTCACTACAAAAAAATGGTTCATATTTCTACGTTATATTTTTTTTCTCGCAAAAAAAGTTAATGGAATATTTTGCAGATAATTTACATTTTGGCAGGAATTTTTGCATTATTAAAAAAAAAAAAAAAAAAAAATTCCACCAAAATAATCAGTCTCTTTCCACTACAGATCAATGATTAATGATTATCAGCCTCGATAAAAATGAAGTATTTAAAGGCCACGCTCTTTAGCTTGAATCTACTGATATGGGTAAGGTCATAAAAAATCTCCCCCGCAAAAGTACACTCGACGCGTAACTTTAATCTTGTCCTCAGCTCGCTGGTTGCACGGTGACAGTAATCGGCATCTGGCTCCTAATAGATCCCTACAAGGGTCACATAATCAACTTGTTCACGCCAAACTCCACACCCCATGAGTCAATCTATTACGTGGGCTACTTTTTCCTCGGTCTTGGACTTATTATTTTCATCGTTGGCTTCTTTGGTTGTCGCACAGCTATTTACGAGAGCCAGTACGTCATTATTACGGTAAGATTAACTTGTATACCTAATTACTCGCTTTTTACTTTTTGACTAAAACTCATTTTATACATGGAAGGACCTTTTCCATTTAAAGTTATCTACAAGCATGGACACAAAAAATCATGAATATTCCTTATTTCTTGAAAAGGAATTTTTCCTTAGCTGGTATATTTCAAATCATCACTTGAATATAATGGTCGATTCAAGCCGCAGTTGGTATAGAAAAGACTCATACGATAATTATTAAGATTTTTGCAGTTATAATTAGAACAATTATACCTAATACACACTTCATGCTGAATCTCTGATTATCAGACTTTAATTTTCTGTTAATGATAGGTATATAGTGAATAGAACGTCGGTAAAATAAATTTGTTTGTGATCTAGAATCGTGGTAGCAGATACTTCAATGAAGAAGTATTTTCTACAACCTCGAAAAGAAATTTCCTAACAATAAATTTTTTGGATTCAATTGTGTCATCTAGGATTAGATTCAATGAGTGAAATCTATATTGTAGAGTATTTTTACCAAACTTTTCAAAATATGGTATTAAAGTTCTACGGAAAAATCCTTGAGAAATTGGTTAAGTCATTCAATTACATAGTACCGTCAATATTTAAATACATTTCAGATTTTAGTAAAACTTTCAAAGGTAGTACTTATTAAGTAGATGTAACTGAAGCGATATATTAGGGGTACATAGATAGTAACTTTTGTAAAGATTAACGAATCGAGCGACGGAGTCACTATACTCATAATCCTATTGACTAAAACATACCACGTGATCCCTCTGGTTTGGATGATTTGATTATTTTTTCGTATTCATGGATATAATTTACAGTAAACATTAGAAAATTAAAGATTGTTTGGGTCATTGAAAATTCTAAAACCTTATTTATTGACCTTCATTTTTTACATTAATAAAATATAGGATGTCGACATTTAAAAAGTTTTCATGTGCTTGTATATAAAAAATAGATCCAACGGCTAATATTCAATTTTTCCTGGTTGAAGGATAATGCTTTCTTAGTGTTCAAATGGTACTAAGCGATGAGATCCGTTTTTTTTTGAATTAGTGTCAAATCAGACTTTTTCTAAGGTTTAGACTGCAAGTTGCTAAAAAACTGGTATATTGAAAATAATGTGTTTTCTATATTTAAAAAATTGGATCGGTTTAAATTATATTATTAAATTTTCACTCTTACTATTTGATTCCAAAACGTGGTGTCTTCATAAAATATTATTTAATACACTTTTGTATAGTTGTCATATACTTATACACGGGTAAACATATGGTGAACATTTTTTAGAAGTATTTTTAATAAACTCTAGTCAAGTAGTATTTCCTAGTATTTGTATGATATTGTACCATTTCATCTCTCAAGACAATCTCTTTCTCATGTCATCTTCGGTTGGTACAAGTCCTTCGCGTTGTGATGTACACCAAGCCATCAAGCCACTACTGGAGAACCTTTGTTTTGTACGCCCTACTTGTTCCGTATATTACTTCACTAGCTTTGTTCAAAATTAATCTGACAGCCCCAGATGTAACCGTTAGGTGCACTGTAGTAACGGGTTCCAAATCAACATGTACTATTTTCGATTATAGTAGCAGCTCAAATCTTGAACATACGTTTAACAAAATCATCAAAACTATTGCATATAAAGCACTGTTCTTGATTGGGAGTAAAAATTCTAGTTTCATAAATTATGTAAGGGATTTATTACAGCTCGACATTTTTTACTGAAATGGAACTTTATTGTCACTATAATATTGGATGTGTATAAAGTGTACCTTTGCTTGTAATGTTGGTTAACAAAGAACTACAAGGATAATATTTAAATTGCAGCGAATTACAAGTATCACTATAAAGTAATGCAAAGTAAGCCATATAAATACAGGCTTATCTTTAATTGTAGACATCAAGGCACATCTAATTGTACAAGTATACTAATATGTTTTATGAAACCAAACCATGTGTTAATGTAAAAAAATAAAATTCTACCTAGGTTCACGATGATGTATGACTAGACCTTAGAAACCTTGTACTAATTTGATACATGGATAAGTAAGTAATGCTTATCGATTGTAGCGGGAATTCAACACTATCTTAAAAAACGGGTCTTGTTGATTAGCACTAATTGAAAAATTTCTAAGTTACGAGAACCTCAAAACTATTGATGATTATGCAATTTCATTCCATAAGTGACATATTAGATGACATCAGAGTCATTAAAGTATACGGCACAAAAGAACTGTCAGCTCTTCTGTAATGCACAGTGAAAAAAGGAGTCATGAGTAGTTTCTATTTTACCTACATACAAATGCTCTTGAAATTATTATTTGCTTTTTAAAAGGACTGACACGTAAATTTAATGCTCATAAAAATCGGAACATCGTTGATGATTAAAATAACCAGCAGAGCTACGGCGAGTCGCAACTTTTTTACCACATGGCTTCTCCAATGTCTTTTTTCCCATTATGTTCTCGGTAAAATATAAACTTTGGAGACTCCTCGCAAACTTTTGCCTATCAAAGTTTGTTGTTCAATGGATTTTGGATTACAATGTCTTTCGAACCATCTTACGGCTCGATAAGGCTGCGAATAACCCTAAAAATGCAGAATAAAACAAAGCCAATATATGACTATGACACGACCGAGATGACTTTTCCACGCCTCATACACAACCCACTAGATCTATTAAGCTTCACTTCCTACCAGAAGAGCTCTACTAGCGCTGCAAAGCCTCCCTCCGTATTGATTTCCATGCTCGTCCTTCTCCGCGTGTAAACCTTCCTCTCCCGGACGAAAATGCAATATACGAGGCTCGTACGCAAATAACCAACAAATCCACCCTCCTTATCGGAGACAGGAAATACGTATCAATATGGTGCACGTACGTGTACGCACGTGTACGTATCCTATAAACCATGTAATACAGCGCAAGCGAGGTGCGTGTTGTCTTTTGCAGTACATGACGCTACTGATCGCCCTGATAGTGACAGAGACGATTACAGCGGCTATACTTGGCGTCATGGCCTATCGCGTGCTCACGGGCTTGGAGACGAGGTTTGCTGGTCGACTGGCCGAACATTATGGACACGATGCGAGCAACGACCTTGGCTTCACCCAAAGCTTGGACTTTGCCCAGTACAAGGTGGGTACGATGATTTTTTTCCCCTTTTTACTGACAATCGTCGTTAGTTCGATAGATGATTCCTTACTGTCTTTCGAAGCAAGAGTTATCGCGAATCATTTTTGTTTCTATGACAGACATTTGCGTGGGGTTGATGTTAAAATTTTTTTTTTTTTTTTTTTTTATCTTGAATTTCAGTTCAACTGTTGTGGCATCTATTCCGACGAAGACTTCAACGGCACGATTTGGTGGAGGGAGAACCAGATCTCAGGCATGAGGAGACAAGTTCCGCTCACCTGTTGCGTCTTCAAGGATATAGAGGTCTTGATTTACTGTGTTGTTGAATCATTTTTTCCTTTCTTAGTGTTGGATCATAACTTTTCGTTGTTTGCTTTTTATTTTTGATTGAAATCTATTGATGTTCTAGGTCAAAAACACTGGTAGCCCCATGAGTGTTATTTCTCGAGTATTTTATAAAAATGTAAGATCTCAAAATTCATTTATCTCTGTTTATTTTCATACTGACGAAAAGGTGTTGTGTGGGAATTAACGAAGAACTAAAAAAATCGTAATTAAACTCCCACTATGGTAGCTAGGGGGGTTTTTGTAGCCGATTGACTTCTGCTAGAACGAGTAAGCATTTTCGATGTATTTTTTCCCACAGAATCCGAATCTGAAACTCGTGTTTTCGTAAAAATGTTCAAAAAATTTTTTTTAAATATGTGATGAAATGATTAAAATACTTCTCGAGACTTATATTTGACCTCTCATATTTATTTACAAGTCACTAGTTTCTTCTGTGCTCTTATAAATCCCATTTGATCTTATACCATTTGTGTCAGTAACTTAAAATACAGTTGTTTGCTAATCAGTCTTATTTTTTCCGACTTAAAGTAACTGTAACTTAAACCCATCTCTATTTGACTACACAATGACCGATGTATTTTAAATAAACACACTTAATGATTTTTGTTTCTTTATTTTATTTAGTTTAATTCATTCTATAGCAATCGCATGTACAGTGTTATCATCAGTTTATAGTACTGTATTGATTGACTGATCATAATACAACCTCAAGAGCTACAGTTGACCCTTCGGATTTATTGACATGCCACCAGTGCCCCAATTCAAGGTTTTAATAACCCACAAAACAATCATCATGATTAACATCGTATGGATGCCAAATTGATGCCAAATTCCATCACTAAGACGTCTTTCAGTTATCAGTTATCTGAAGATATCATTTTGACAACTGATTACTAAAAGACATCTTAACGATGGAATTAGGCGTCAATTTGGCATCTACACGATGTCAGTATCATCAATGTTTTAATATTCTCGCTTTCAACTTACCGTCTGCCAATTACCATATGACATCTTTTCTGAAAGTATACCCCGATTTGCTAGACTATTCTCTTATAAGTGCTACAAATTTTTGTATTTTATTATACATGGACAGAACGAGACCCCATGGCTGTATCCGAGACCTAAGGATGAGACAGCTTGTCAATCCAAGAATATTTCGGTGCACACAGACTTCAGACACAAAGAGGTTTAAAAGCATACTATAAATTGATCGATTGAGATCAAATTTGATGAGAGACAATTGAAGGATGATTTTTTTAACCACTACGTACTAATACGCAGCTAAATTCTTATTTCAGGGTTGTCTAGAAAAAGTCAGGAGCTGGCTCAAGTATGAAAGCACGGCTCTCATAATATTTGGCGTCGTAGCTGCTAGTGCTCAGGTAATTGAACATCTACTGTTGTTTTTTGATAGCAAGTTATTGAAATATTACATAAGTTACATAAAACGTCGTTAGTTGAAAAAAAACGCCCATTTTCGAAAATGGTACATGACGTAACGATTGCACAAAGTTGGTGATACTGACACTCGGGTTGTTGTTACCACTACTCCATCATCACCCAAGTGTAAAGCACCAACTTTGTACAATTGTTAAGTAATTTATATATACATATATCATTATGACACATTATGAAGTGTAAGGACTTTAACATTGAGTGCAAGCGAATGCAAGTTCGTTGACAAGGTAAACACACTTTTTACTTGCACTGTGTTCAACTGAGATAATTCTTGCCTCTGTGCAGGCATGAAGAAGTTGAGCTTCGCATACTTAGTTTTGAAAACTAATTATTACAAAAATTTCTTAATGCAATGGATAGGTACGGTGAATCATTAATTATTATGATCAACTTTGCTCGATTACTGCACGTGATAGGATCCCTTAACTAGAAAGTTGCAATCGTTCGAAGCTTAAGAAAAATGCTTGAGTTATAAACGTAAAATTTAAGCATAGCCGACAAACTGTTTTTACATTTTTATTTTGTACTACATCGATAATTTACGACTTTGTTTACCGGTGTCGTATCGTAATGGTTTTATACAAAACATTGAGAAACAATGAAATGTGAAAATCGGTCTGAAAAATAATAAAAATACTTTTAACTACCGTGTCCAGATTTTCGGGATACTAACATCAATCTGCGTTTGCCAATCAATGGGTGAAAGTGGATAGCACCAGCGACGGGCCAGCCACAGTAGCGGTGTGAGCAGTTCTCGAGCGTCGTACCGCCGAAGTGTGCGTACTGGCAGCGTTAGGTAGACGAGCGGAAGCTTCGATACCGCGGCTTACCGATACTGCGCGATTCTTGTTTCAGTCATAATGTATTCATATACGTGAATACGTGAATTGTGCCAAAAGTAAGTCATGTTATCTGTTAACACTTAATACTTACGTGTGATTATGATTACGACGATGTTAAGTAAGTCGTTGTTTCAAGGTCCAGTAACGTTATCAAAAAATTGATAAAGCCGTATTTGTGGTAGTTCATTTGGTTATTTGTGCCCTACACAGATTTCATAGTCCTGTTGTGTACTTTTTTTTTTAATTGACTGTAATATTCCTATTCATACTATTGTAGATATTTTTATAAATATCATTATGTTTTATTTTTTTACTATTAGGTTATATTGTTGTGTAAATAATCATTATTCAGTATCTGTTATATGATGATAATAATAGGTTACGTGTACAAAAATGTGGGGTAGTTGGTGATGTCAATTATAACTATGTGCTTAAGGATGTTGCCTACTTATAAAAAAATAGTTAAACAAAAATTGTTTAAAACTGAAAATATTAATATTTACAGTAGAGCTATTCACATAGACATGATACACGAATGTCAATATGAACTTTCACAACGAAAAGGGAGTTGCGTGACAGTCAAGCCCTTAAAGTTAGTGAATAGACCGGACAGACCTATACTTTGTTTTACAATGACAACATAGGTTCATATAGAACTATCATGTCATTGGAGAGCAAAGTATAGGTATGTTTAGTCTATTCACTCACTCTCAAGGAGGTTCGGTCGTTTTTGAGGAGATGTATTCACTCGCTGAAAAAAATTAATGTTGTACTTTAACATGTTTGAAGTACACAGGAATTTTTTCAATATTCTTTACCAGCCGAATCTTCAAGAAAAAATTCCCGAAATCGCATCCAACATGGCTATTTTGGGCAAGAGCGATTATTCAGCTTTTGGTGCAACAATTTCGAGGTAAGAGGTATATTTATAATGAGGAAAAAGTTCGAACGGATAGCTCAACTCCTAAGGAAGACTTTTGTATAAAAAAATATGTACCTTACTTGTAAGAAATATCTGTACAAACGTAAACAAAGTCTCGAGGAGGTCCTATACTAAGTGTATGGCACAGCCCTTCTTAGGACCTCAAACTATAATGCTGTGCTATAAGTTTGTTTTTAGAAAATTTATAACACACTTTAGTTGACGGAAGCTGAGTCTCCTTCATTTAAGGTTAATTCTACTTTTTTAAGGTTAATTTTTATTATGCAAACAATATGTTTTCAAGTTTTTTACACGAACTATCAGAAACTAGCTGCATTACAGCATGTACCGTTATTTTTTCTTAACAACTAAAGGTTTAAGCTTTGAGGACTGACGAGTTGAACACATTTAAATAAACCGTGATGCAGTGAGTGAACGTTTTCATGCACGGTTAGTACAACTCACTACAATACGTTGTCTTATGGGAGCACCCGCCATTGTGGACGTTCATATTAAAATTCATGTATCGTGTCCATGTAAATAGCTTCAGTATCTTGAAGTTGAACTTTTTTCTAACTAAGTAAATTCTAGTAGTACAAAGTATAAAGACATCATACTCAAGAATAATATAAATATATATGTTTTCCATTATAAAGTAAAAAGTAGATAATAATTTTTTATCGTATATATAATTGGTATTTGCGGGAATCACCAAACAAACTGCTTATAACAGTATATACCTTAAGATCCTCTAATTTTTATCCATCATACGTACGATGAAAAACTATTTTTAAATTTACGATGTATCAATAAATTTGTTTTAAAAATTTTTTCAATGTATTTTTCGTTTCCCATTTCATAATTTTGTTTTTTATTAGTACTGAACAGTTCACTTACTGGCTGTGTTCGCATAAGGCTCCGTTAGTTAAGTCATTTAAGGTCACGTGATCATTTATCATAAGTGCGAGGGAGATAACATGATGTTACCGTCTCACTCGCACTCATGATAAATGATCACGTGAACTTAACTGACTTAACTAACGCATCCTTATGCAAACACAGCCACTATAAGTATTTAACCTTTAATCTTAGAATTCAACTACTACAAAATTAAGTAGAAACAGACGAGTAAAGTTAGACAAGCCTTATATATAAGTGACGGCACTTTATCTTCATCTTAAATCTGTCACTTTCACACAATTTGTAAGAATTAGTACAAAAAGAAAAATTAGTGTAACATGAAATCTCTGTCATAAATGATCATCCATAATAAACACTTATATCTGAAAACAGTATTTATTGTTAATCTGGAAGATGGCTGGATATTTGTTATCAGACTCTACCTACTTGGCTATGGACATACAGTCAGTACGAGCCAATTTTTGAAAGCTTTCAAATATAATCACATTCAGTACCAATTTTAAATGGCTGAAAGTATCCTTTTCTTGTTCTCTAATAATGATTATAAAATCTCGTACTTTTTTTTTAAACATATTAAGTTGGAATTGACTCACGTTAAACAAAATAATTATTGTAACATTTGTTTATATTTTACGTGGATAATGCAATGGTGTCAATTTTAAACTTTGCCTGAGCAACATGGTTTGCTGCTAAAAAAATTTAATTTGGTAACGTCCTTAAGTACAGTAGATTTTGTTACAAATACATAACATACCATCAGGATATGATTTACCATACTCAGAAGTTACTGTTTGAAGTTCTGTGCGATTTATTTTTCAAAATGTAAATAATGGGCAGCGGTTTAATGAATTTATGTGTTTTGCGGGCACGTTTTTAAGCACGATCTAACCAAAGACTCTTTAAATGGCTTGAGTGATGATCATCTTGTCCGAGGTTCTAGTGTCCTAAATAAAAATTTTGCCTCAAAAACGCTTTCTCGTTGCAGGAGTGTAGTAACTGAGTGTCTTACAATTGAATTGTAACACTAGTGTTGTACAATTTATAAAGCCTGCCATGTGCTTTGACCTATAAAAACGTATATATGTGACGTGTTAAGGATTAAAAGGTTGGTACCGTAAATAACGTTCTCTTCTAATTTTTACTTACATGATTTGTGTACAGAATAAGTGACAGAAATAATGGTTCCGTTAAATAATACTTTTTTAATGGTATCAACTATTTATGGTTGAATTATTCAGTTCTCGAAATAGATGTTTAATGTTAAATCTAAGTAGTATGAACCAAACAGAGAGATATATGATATATTATTCTATGAAAAAAATGAAAAATGTAAAAAAAAACCAACAGTACTGTGTAAAATAGATATAAGATAGTACTAATAATTTTACGTTTGACAGTGGACTTAAAAATAAAAGTTGCTTATGTATGTATAACATTTTAAAATATTCCAAATAACGTTATGAAAATGATGCATGTAAGAGTATTATATAGATGGATTTGGTAACTACAGAATTTTTGCAACACGTGCGTAAATGTAACTTTACGCACAAGTCCCAGGCAAGTGCCTCTCGATCATTCGAGTGTAAAATAGCTCTTGCACACTGAGATCATGGAAAAAGTTTAACGTTCTACGCTGTGAGTAAGAAAGGAGATGCTTTCTTCCACTCTCTAAATTTGAAATAATGATAAGTATACAATTTTTTCAAAGTGCAGCATATAAGTACACTGTAAAACAGTAAAGATACACTATTTAAACAGTGAAACGGTTATTTTAACTATTCACTATTTCTACCAAGTTAACGTTTTACGATTTAAATGACTTGCCAAACTTATTGTTACTACTACTTTAAGTAATGTGTATGGGTTGTAAAGTTATCTTCCTTTGGATCAAGATATCTTGAGTTCATTGCATTACTAATAAATATTTAGAACTAAAATTTATATTGACTATGTTTATAAACAATCTTATTTTTTCACTATTTCAAATTAAGAGAGGCGTGTTTCCACTGAAACTACGACTTTTTATGCTGTTTTTAGGGGTAAAGTGCAACGTTACTTCTTTTGTTATGCTTCAAGGAAAGTATTAAGATATGGGGATGGTGACTGACGATTTTTGAACGCGAGAGGACAGCCAGGAGCCAAGACCTCAGCCAATAATAATAAACAGCACTATTTTCAAATCCATCAACTCCAAAATCACACTTTTTTTCATTTAACGCCACTATAACCATTTTTTTTTAATTACGGGGTCAGTTTGAAATTAAAATCCTTTTTTAGAAAAATATCCAGTCACTGAACAATTACGAGGTATTTTTTTATTTAATATTGTGTGACTTTAAAAAAGTTATTCTGGTACGTAGAAGACAGTGAGCAGAAGTTCCGTATCATGTATATAGATATACAGAATGTACAATTCATCTTCTTCAATCTTATTGGCTGGAGTCTTGGCTCCCTGGCGCCATCTGAGCCAAACTTTCTAGTTCGCAAGTTCGCCATCCCCTGTGTGTATTCGTGTTCACAAGAAACACCAAAATACTTTCTTTGTAAGCAAAGTAAACGAGTTATTCTGAAATTCATGAAAAACGTGGTATATTTAATGGAAGAAGACAAAAAATCGTATTTACCACTAGAGAGTACGACGCTACTTCCGGGGTGTATAACAACCCAGGACAACAAGTCAGAGCTCTCTTTCTTGTGGTGTGATACATTGTTTACGAAAGCTTAGTGTAAATTGTGTGTTTATACTTCGCACGATATCTTATGAATATTTTATAGTGCATACAATGTTTGAAAAACGCATTTTAAATGTGTTAAATTGCACAACAGGCAGTACAAGAGACACCCATTAATTACGTGAGCTTAGAAAAAAAGATCCAGCAGAGTTAAACCAATTTTTATGAAAAAGAACAGAGAAAGTCAATAAGAATTTAACATTCACTTTTTTATTTTTTATAATTTATGTGTTCCGTACCATCAAAACACGTACACATCATGGGCTCAATTGTTACTATGAAGGAAACACATAAATATCCATGGAGTGCAGTACTATATAGACTATTTTTCATGTTTAAAATTAATAAGACTCATGATACTTACTTAACGTCGTTATAACAATAACATTTATTTAATTATTATTCATTACTATTAATTGTACTGCTGTTATTATTTAATTTTCAATAGCAACCTAGTTAACTACACTATAATGTGCTCCCGTCGGAAAGAAATTTTTTAAATTACTTCAGCAATGATTGCATGAGTTGAGTGTCACTCACTAAGTACGAGATCTCTACGATCAGCAAACTCAATACAGATGGCGTACTGTAACTAAGAAAAAAAATGGCATCACTGACACACTTTTACTACAAGTGATGACAATATGTGGTAATGTGGACGTACTTTTGTGACAACATCTCTGTCACGCTGACGTCAGGAGATCACGGATAGTACATTTTTTTCAATACGACGCCATTTTTCTCTTAGGTAAAGTCCACCATCTATGTTAAGTTTGTGGCCCGTAGGGACCTCATAGAAGCTGCTAGCGTTAGCACTGCTTGTACACATTTGCAGTAACGCTCAATGCGTGATAATGTCTTTTCCTTGCGTTATCGTAAACGTACAATAATCTCTGTGTACAATTAGTAGTTAATATTCAAAAAATTATAAGATGAATCACACGTAAAAGGGAGTGCTAGTTCTACTTCATCTTACTAAAGGAGACGTCTAAATTGGGAGAAAAAAAAACCTCACGTACTTCATGGATGTCTCCACAACATTGCCCAAAATGCAATTTTGTGTGCTGGATAACAAATAGTTTTTAAAGTATTAGAATATTTAAATCCAAAAAAATTGCCAAATTTTTTGAAACAAATATAAAAAAAATTTAATTTTCACCTTATGAAAAAAGCTTTTTATAATTGTGAAATACGCACTTTGCGAAAGAAATAATTTTTTGCATTTTTTTACGAAACAATATTTTAATAATATTTTTTATACATTATTGAGTTAAATCGTATTGTTGATGTTTACAACAATATTCAATGTCATAACAGTATCGATTAGTGTTGGCGATAGTACTTTGTTCATAGAATATTCATGTGGGTTTTTGAATGATACAGCATGTATTACTTGAAAACAGTTTTTAAATACATTAAAACCGATAGTTCATAAAATTTTTAACATACTAAAAGAAATTTATGCTATTTAATGAAACAATTGCGTGAGCCCCATACATTTTATTTAAATTGATCTCGTACTTTAAATCGATTGAACGAATACCAGGTGTCCGTGTTAGTAAATATTTTACTACCAACCATGCATTTGCTTTACGCGACACAAATTTTCGATTTTTATTAATGATAAAAGATGAACAAATAACTATCACATATTTAATAATATCGAGGTTTTAATATCAAATAGCTGTATATTTTATATAAAGTATAACGTTTTTATTTTTCAAAAGTACCTGTGTAATACATAAAACACACGAGTGAATGTGTTCAAAGAAAAAAAAAAACTTACTGAATAATAAACGAAACGATGAAGAATTGTGCGGGATAATAAGCATTGTCCCAAAAGATAAATTGTTAAGGAAGTCAACAACTTCTGTATTTTCTTAGAAGGTGAAATGTGTTGAGTTAAAAAAAAAATAAATAAATAAATAAACAAGTTGTGCAAAACAACTACATTATTGTTGTCTTAGTTCTCACAGCGGCCTGTCTTTTAATATAAGGAGCAAAAAACAGATGTAGTATGCCAATAAAGATGTTATTCTCTGTAGAAAATGGAATCCTTGTTTTTTTCTATTCCTTAATTTATTTATACTATATGAATAAAAAATTAAAAAATTTAACATTGTCTACATTTAAAATGGCTTAGGCGGTTGGCGTCGTACATGAGGCACAGTGCCATGGTGACCCTTATTGGATAAACGCTATTCGACGATTAGTTTTTTAATAAGTTCACTTACTACAACAAAAACTAAGTAAAAAATTAAGAAATCATTCAAAAAGTGATTTTCGATACCCCCGCCGAAACTACGAAAACTACTTTATTTCCTGCAATCACGGAAAAACGTTGTATTTTCGGCAAAGTAGGATAAAAAATTGTATTCAGGCGTCGAGACAAAGTACGGCATGATCCCCTCACACCCGAGAGGGAATGTCATACTTTTTTTCCTCGGTGTATAATACAATTTTTATCCTACCTTGGATATTTTTGAGGGTCGGTAGTGCCGTCGGTAGGAAAAATAGGATTCGCACCTAGTGCGCATCCAACCAGGGCAAGCACAAGGAGTCCCTCGGGCCCTGCATTACAGGTCCCTCAGGCATGGTGCTTTCCCTGGTGACATGCACCACTAGGTACAATAACTACCATTTCAGATTTCTATTGTATAAAATGTATGTTTCTGGCCTATGGGCATCTACAGTCAAGCAGTTTATGAAGTAAGGAAAAAGATTAGTGTTTTATACTTACTTCCCTTTCGATTTTCATTTCATTGAAGTGGTGAAGTCTATGTTTTTGAGGACTCAACAAATTTCTATGAAAAAATTTAAGGAACATCATTTTTAATTTCTCAGGTTTATTATTTACTAAAGTAGTTATGGTTGATTTTGTGATAATTCCCACAAGACTGTGAAAGTGGCGTTTTCACAGTTTTCATTTCAGTAGCGATTTTCTCAAAAATAACATGGTTCATTTTAATTATAATTAGACAAGGTAAAATCTTGAAAATAAATTCGAAAACCAAAAAAGGGCATAGTTTTTTACCTGTAAAAATCTGGTCCAAATTTGTTTAAAACTAATTTTTCTTATAAATTGCAAAAATTACTTTTCTATCCGAAAAAATTTAGATATTAGTTTTTTGTATTATTTTCAGTACAGAAGACCTTTTGTCATTTTTTGATTAAATTGGCTGTTACTGAGTCATTAAAATGCTTAAAAAAACACATAAGTAGACATTCTCAAGGTTTAAATTAGTTACAAAAATTTATTTTTGAGTTGACTATGATTTTTGTATATTATTTAAACATTTCTTGACAATATCCTGACAAAATAAGTTCTTGAAAATTTTGGCAAAAGTCTAGGTCTGACTATTTAAACAAATATTTTTTAACGATTCGCATGAAACTTTTTTTTATTGAATTAATAAGTTTTATTTCTATGTTCAAAAATGATTTTTTCTCATTATCAGTCAGAACAGATTATTTCAATGCTAATTTTTATTTGTTAATGAATGTTTTAAGCCGTGGTTAAACTCAAAAATTTTGTAAACGGAAGCGGGATTTTGCCTTGTCTAGATAACATTATACTGAGTCCTGAATCCAGTTTGATGTTTTTTTAATAAAAAAAAAAAAGGAAAAAGAAAATAACGACTTAAAAAAAAAAATCTCATAAAATGAATATTTTTTGTAAACTAAAAAAAATTTTTTTGAGAAAAAAATTATTTGAGTAAATAACATACTTTTTCCAGTTAACTTTAATCTTTCAAGTTAAAAAAATGAACGAAATAAGGATAAGGTATTGGTTTAGAAAAAAAAAAAAAAAAAATAATTCTAAAAAAAATTTCTTTTTTAAGTGCAGCAAAAGGGTTTTTTAAAAAATGTGTTTTCTTCAAGTATTCCTTACTATTGTTTATTTATTATGATATGCCAAGTAACTCTTATCATATCTATACATTTAACAGTAATAAAACACGTCCCGGTCATTCAAATTTTGCACTGGTCGGCAATTTGACGTGATTGGACCTTCTGTCGAACATACTTTTCGAAACCAGGCCATCTGAAAAATAATTTTAACGTATTAAGTATATCATACCAGGACTTTTCACCTTACCGACTATATTTTACTTCACTAAAAAGAAGTTTCATCATCAAATAAACGTTTTTACGAATACAAACAAATAAATGCGAATAAATGTACGTACAGATAAAATTAATATTCATTCAAATCAAATAATATAAATTTGAATAAAATGAATAATTTTTGTACAACGTAATATTCAATTGATTTAAATAAACATTTATTTTATTCGAAGACCATCACCTTTCAACACGCAATGCTAATTAATGTATCTATGTAGACATAATGGACAGGGGACTGTCAGAGTTGAATTGGTTCCCAAACGTCTCGACGCCAAGAGACTGCCCATATCTGGCCCGAGTGTAGCTGTGTTGTAGAAAATTTAAAGTACGGGAAACTCCATGAAAAGCATTTATTTGAAATTTTTGTATTTTTGATTACCTAACCATTTTTCAAAAATTATCATGGTTCTAATAACTTTATGACTATTTATCAAGATCGTGTGCAGTTTATGTCACAATAAGTACTTTTTCTTTTTCTTCAGAACGTTTAAGCACTCTGACTGTAAAAATTATTCATTATACAGACCAAAGATTTTTCATCCCCCGTATCTTCAAAAATTACTCTCCCTTCAAAACTTGTTTTCTCAAAATAGTGCATTAATCCTTTTGGCATTTTGGTTTATCATAGTTACTGTCATCCAAGACATTTTTGAATTCAATAAAAAACTTGATCTGCTAAAACTATATATATAAAAAAACCGTCTGCTAGTTGATCCCTCATGGTCTAGATGAGCTCGTCGTTGGCTCAGTTGGTTTTCCAGAATTCAATCCACTACACCGACTTAAAATTAAGAATTAGTTTTAAGATCCAACCCACAGCTCTCAACCCAATGTAATTTAATAATGTAATATTCTGTAGCTATAAAAGCCTTAATAAGGGACTCAATAAATCTTTCAAATAAATAAATCATGGTCTTGATATGGGCAGTTTCTATTATATTGACTATGAGCACATCTCAGGTGGTGCCGTCAATGCCGGATTTCAGTACCAAAGTTTCCTGCATGAAAGCATTTGATCTCTTGGGAACGGTTCTATTTTAATTAACTACATTTCTACTTCCATGTGGCAGTTTATAATAAGGGTTACGAGGCTCTTCAGGTAAACAGCACTTATTGGCTATATATATATATGGCACATCTAATGAGCCGATTAACCTTGTCTGGCTGGTATGGAATTAATTTTAACTATATAACAAAGGGAGTGTAGTACTTAATCACCCCAAATTAATTTTAATTTGATAAAGTATACCAATGTCGTGTAAGAAGTACGAACTCTATAAATTAACACATGAAAATAGAGTGTTAGTTAATTAAAATAGAACCATACCCATGAAATTCAATGCTTTCATGATAGAAAATTTGGTACTGAACTACAGCATTGGCGGTGCTACCTGAGATGTGACCGTAGTCAATAGGGACATAGTACGATAGAATTAGAAAAAAGCACGGTTAATTATAAAAAATTGTTATTAGCGCGAAAACTGAACTATTAGCGTGAGAATTTCTGAACAAATCTATATAGTTTTAGACTCCAAATTGTGTCAGATAACGGCCCAAAAAAGCGGAGGGACCATTTTTTGCTTCTTGCAGCGGTTTGCAAAAAGTTTAAAACCGATCGTCTTGAAATTTGGTGTAAATGTTGAGGGACACATGATATACATTGTATTTAATTTTTGAGTCTTAATATTTAAATGAACGTGAGTTATAGATTTTTAAAAAAACGGTCCAGAAGAGCACTTTTTGGCAAATTGCGAAAAAATAGCTGGGCTAATTTTATCCCAATAGAGTTCATTTTCTTCGTCTTGAAATTGCGCATTTTTTTCAACCATACAACTTTTTTGTCTGACTCTCCAGTTTTTTCTAGACGTGAAAAACCATTTTTGACCACATTTATCATTTTTTTAGGCCGTTAGCTGACACAATTTTAAGTCTAAAACTATTTATTTAGATTTGTTCAGAAACCGAATAACTACCTCCATGATTTTTTTCGCGCTAATAGCAATTTTTTTTTCAAAAAGCTAGTTCTATCCTACTAACAGGCAGTCACCTATCCACAACTACGATTTGGGCCATGTAAGTATGCTGACGTTATATCAACCGATTAGTAGCATCCGGTAGCCCGAAGGTTTCTCAAATCGGGGTGTTAGTAAGGCTATCGGTAAGGTAGAAATTTCTGATAGTATATAGTAAATGTCTCAATAAGCGATGTATGGTGTATAGCTCAATCCAGAGGGCGCCAGGACCCGCCAGCCCTGTTTAATGTACACTAGAACGGCTAGATACTCCCAACCCCCTCCGTGGGTTGAGTGAAACTGAAATCATGTACTCCAGTATATGACTTCAGTGTCACTCAACTCGTCGCAAGGGGGTCAGAAATATCTGGCCGTCTAGTGTATATGTATCCGTGTAAATGTTATGAGTTCGGATTCGTACATAAGCGTGTACTATATTTGCTTTGAGCGCAATTCCGAAGTCGTACCTCCACTGGGCACTTTGAGAACGATTGATCGTGATTAGAAAAGGCAATTATTATGAAATCGAGCTTCCGGCTTCATTCACCAGGTGGCAAACCCTTAAATGTCGCTTCTCTACAAGCATATGGAAATCAATTCATAGTACTGTCCTTTTCTAATCACGACCAATCGTTCTCAAAACGCCCAGTGGGGGCGCGATTTCGGAATTGCGCTCAAAGCGAGTACTGTATAGAGTTGTAGTCACAGCGGCAGACGATATACCAAATACACTGACCCAACAATCGTACATACGACACACACGTATGGAAACTCACGGATACACTAACACATCGATTAATCAAGACTGGCGTATCCTGGTGCCCGCTGGATTGAGCTTTACATCTTCATTAAAAATGTATTTTTTTGCATACGTAAAAAAATAATGTACTTGTGAAGCCGATATGGCAATACTCCGAGGCTGAATTATCCATGTAACAATTTCACTACACGGCGGATGGGTCAGCGAGCCACAGTACGCATAATACTTGCTCTCAAAACTCGGCATCAGCCATTCGAGAGGAAAGGCTGGCAATAGAGTGCAGCTTCCTGGATTGATTACGCGCCACAAGTTTGTTACCACGTGGTCCAGGTACGGATTATCTGCCTCAGTAATCTCATTGAAAAAAAGAGAAAAAATTGACTTCATGGTATACATTTTGTAGTATATGAGTATGTTTTCTGATAATTAGTACGAGCCATCATTGAGGTCAGATAAAAGTGTTATTTAAATTTAGCCAAATGATGCGTGAAATAATGTATGGATAGTGATTGGAATAGTACAGGCAAAGAGTATAAATTTATCTTTATTTTTACTTCTGCTGTAATTATAAGGTACTGATAGAAAAATTGTATCCATTCCTGAGACTATAAAAACTGTCGATGGAAGGTTTGCACCAAAAATTAAAATGTAAGGAATGAGTTAAATAAAATAATTCATGGCGAAAGTAAATAAATAAGAAATTATTATTCTACTGATAAAAAAAACTCTTAGCTATTATGGTAACAACCAACTCTAATAGATAAAAAATTATGGAGGTCCAAAGCCTTTCACCGATTATAAGAGAAATACCAGAGCAAACTGTATGATTTAAATAACACGACTCAATTTGGATATTATTCCGTTGTTATATTCAACTAAGTTATAGTAACAATACCCTACCCTTGAACGTAAAATAACAAACTTTCATGCTACAAAATGCTTTTTCATCCATTTTGAAATGTTTTTCGATATTTATTTAAGTGTATTATATATAGAATATAACCCAATAACCCAATCTATAACAACAGTATAGATGAAATTGGTCAATTTAATAAAGTGTGTTTTTAGACGATCTATATTTTAAGTATCAAACATTTTTTTCTAAAAATGTAATTTAGAATCATTAGATGGTGTACAATAATTTTTTGGTTATTTTGAAACGATTTTCATCAATTGAATCGTTAAGGAGGCACTCTAGAAAAAAACTTACTTTGCAAAAAAAGTCTCATCTAATAAGATCTACAACTTTTGTATTCAACACTTTGTTGTAGAATTTGAATTTATTTTTCTAACAGACAAAACATTTTTTTCGTTGTTCCTGCATACATTTTGTTTTATAGAGCATCTGTATCGAGATGTAGAGCAAAGTGTATGATACAAAAAAATGTATTTTAACGAGATCTACCATGCTGTTGCTTAACACTATTTGACAATTAAAAATTCTCTCAAAACGTTTCCTTTTCATGAAACTTGTCCCAATTTAAACCATTAGCTCAGACATCCAACTTGAAGTTATGAACGAAATTTCAACTCATTTAGATCATAATTATTTGAGTTAGTAGAAAAACTTTATGATGTACATACATATAAGTCCATACATATACTACGTGATCAACTCACATGACCCTCATTCTAGGTTCAAAATTTGTTTTATAATAAAAATTTGACGATTTCAAAGTGGTTACACTTTTTGCTCTGGCAAAATTAAAAGGCACTCCCATACATCGGTCGTACCTGAAAACGATGAGCCAGTTGTAGTGATCAGTTGAGCCTCTAACTTAAAGTTTCTTCCTATAATCTCTGCATACCTAATTAAATTTGACTATTACTGTGATTCAGAAAGGATGTATAATTTTAAAACAACCTCGTTGGAGGAGCAAATGTAGCCGTGTGTCAAAAAGATAATGATTACGTGGTAAGGTATTTGTAAATATGGTAAGGGTAGCTTGTAACAAAGACAATGTTGAAAAAAGTATGTAATGGTCATGCATTAAATAAAGTACGAAAATATTTCTAGTATGCATTGATGTTTAGAATTGGTGTACTTTAAAAGTTATGATTTAAATAAAAGTTATTTTAACTAGAATTTAAGAAATGTGTATAATTTTGAGTATTGATCACAAAAACTTGGTTATAAAACAAATATATGTGGTATATCTACATCAACCACTGGTAAATGTAATCCATGACAATACTAAACCAGTTAATTTTTTAGTCCATGACTGTCATTTAAAATGAGGTACAGTATCTTATTATGGCCTGTTATTAATAAGCAATAATATTATCTAGCTTCAGTAATTCAATTTTAATTACAAAAGTTAAAACAATATAAATAAAATGGATTTGATTCCTTTACATGATACACTTCCCAAATTCAAAAAATTCCTAGCATCGATGTAATCGTATAAATTAATCTCTGCACTTAACACTCACACTTTCGAATGATTGTGAAATGAGCTTCGCTCCGCATTCAAGGCATAAAAAGTATTTTAACAAGTATGTGCATGTGTTAATGACTCAAAAAAAATAATTTTTTAAAAGTTTATGCCACGAGTTTTACCAGAAATTTTTAAATTTCATCCATCTTCCAGGTATAATAAATAATTTTTCCAACTTCGGATATTTTTGAGTGGTTACTGTTCATCTGACCAGGGGTCCCACTGGTCCCTTGATGGTTGCTGTGCAAGCACCCGCGGGCCCAGGGACTACCCTGGAGAGATGCGCATTTGCGACGAAAACTACTATTTTGTTATTAGTTGACTGATAATTATGTGCAGCCAAAGTGGTCAGATCTTACATTTGATAAAATAATTACTCATACGTATGTAAAACAACACATACAAAAACATGGACCTCCAAGAGTAGTGCCAATGTTTCATACTTGTTACTTTTATCTTACTAGTTATACAATAGGTCACTTATTAATCAAAATTGACACGGCCTCTCAGTCTGTTACAACTACGCACGAATGGCTGGATAAAAGTTATTTTCAACTCCTGAGTTAAACAAAAAAAAAGCTTGTTTGAATGTTTGATGTTTTTATTTTATTCGTTACATTTTTTCCTTGCTTCCTTCCCTCATGTCTCACCAAAAATTGCTATCTCGAACTGCGATATGTTAGAAAAATATGCAATGGGCATGACTACATAGAAAAAAGTGAAAAAGGCAGGTGACGATTGATACCTGAAAAAAGTAGGACACAATGGCCAAGCCGTCCTTGACCTTACAGGCAGCAGCATCGCGCGGAGTCTCGATTCCCCGTTTCAGGTGCATAGCCTGCAGCTCCATGGAGTAACCAACGTAGTCGAGGGTGTGCTCACTGCCCTCGTCATTGGCCGGGCCCCAGCGAAACACTGCCGAGTGAAAATCGTAGACCGACTGGAGGGGACCACCTTGGAGCTTCGGCCTCGACACGTGGTTCCAATGGCCCAAGAGCACCACTGCGTGTACGGGCGTTCGTTTCGTTCGATTTTAATGAAATTACCAAAGTTACTTACCCACTGGTTGATTAATAACTCGGCGCGTGCGGTGCCTAACGTTGCAAGGCTTTTCATTTTTACGAAAACGCGGGAAACCTCAGCTGGACTCATTTTGTTTATGAAGCGAGACAATTATCGGGAATAATTTCCTGATATTAATTTCAGTGTTTATAGTGGGAGTTGGTGAGTTTCTCGAGAACATGATAAATACCAACTCTAGCCAGTAGAAGTTGTGGGAAGGTTAATGGAACTAATTTAATTACCATTGGGTATTCATTAGACGGGCCGAGATCATTGGAAACCTTGCAAATTTAATGAGATCCTTGACTCTGCGTTGCACGCGAGAAGATAAAAATCACGCAGGTATAGATTCATCAAAAAATACTACATTAGTCGCCGTAAGCATTATGTTATTTGAAGAGAAGATTAATAGTGTGATGATTCATCAATCGGCTCGACACTTTCTTGTTTCATTTGGACTGAGTATATAACGTAAGATGAAACAAAAATTAAAAAACATATCATCACCAAAAAAATCTGTGTAGCTAAGACGTGAAAAAATTGTATCTTCGAATGAGTGTAACCCAAGATTTCTATGTTACACGTGTAATCCAATATGTGGGATGATCAAGTTCCTACACTCAATTGCTGTGAACATAGATGAAAAAAATGAGTTTGTTAGCTACAACACCAAATAGCGGGTATGACTAAAAACAGTTATTGCCGATAACAGGGAAAAATCAAAGTCATGCCCAAACGTGATAAGTTAAAGTCATAAAAATCGGAAAAAAGTGTGCTTTTGCCTCATGTATTTCTCTCTGAAAATGTAATACTGATACACACGCCCTATGATGGGATGGAATTCTCAATTAGACACAAAATAACCTGTGTTCCCGTCATTCGAGAGCTGAACGGAATACGGTTCGTCGTCGTAACTTCGCCAGCAAAGCGGCTTCGAGGGCACCAGGGCGATGGCTGATTTGCCAACAATGTTGATGGGCGACTGGGACAGGCTCCGGGCCTCGGGGTAGGCGCAGCGCCAGTAGCTAGGGCCGTTGCTCACGCCGTAGAGGAAGGCTTGCGGTGGACTAATGCTTGGGCACGCGAAGCCTATTTGGATGCACGACCAGTCCAGCACTTCCATGAGCAGGATTGCTGTTTTCGAAAAATACAGGGCAATTGGCGTTGGGTGCAAGAGCGTGGGGGGGGGGGGCTGGGTCGAGAAATTTCGTAATATACCTATGAGGATGATGCTGATGCAGTAGATGATAAAGTCAGGAACTGTGAACGGACTGCTCATAGTTTTTTGGTTAGCTGCACTGATACTTTTTTAAAAATTAATTTTTTAAACTATGGATAGAGAAAAAAAAATTAAAAGATGGAGCAAGGGAGGTTACGTTACAGTCGAGTGTGATACATGATAACGATAACTGTGAGCTTAGCTGTTAATTTCATCTTAGACGCATGCGTGTGTGTATACAAGTAGTGTCATTATTTTAGTGATTGTAGAATATTTGTATGATAATTACATCCAAATTATAAATTGCATCAATTAATTTTTTTTGTATCGTTTTTTAAAATTAATTAAATCCTTCATAATTATACTACGACTAAAAAAAATAGTCTTATTATGAAAGTTGGAATAAAAAAAGGTTAATAATTAGAAAATCGTACGTCTTTCGTCGATATCTTGCTGTAGGCAGGTTTACATCGGAAAAAATTTCGTTAAAAAGCATCAACTAAACTTTCAAACTGGTAAGGTTTGTAGAGTTTGAAATGGGACACCGTTTAATTTTAAAAATATTAGAATATTACATACTTTCAAATAAAATGCTAAAATCAAAATCGCAAATATCACGAAACACTAACAATATTATGGTGATTGTAATTATACTGTCCACAACTTAAAATCTGTCTATACTTTTTGAGTCAACACGTCTCATCTGACTCATTTTGCAGATTTTATTTTGTATACTTTGAAATTTTAATTAGGTCTTGCGAAGGAAAGCTATTGAAGAGAGCATGTAATAAGTTGTCCAAATAAAAAATCTATTATATTTTTTCGTTGATAGCTTTTCTCCGCAAAAACTAATTAGAATTTCAAAGTGTATGAAATACAATTTGCAAAATAAGCTTTGACATGAGACTCTGAAAGTATAAACAGATTCAAAGTTGCGTACAATGTAAGTTGAATGTGCAAATTTCAAAAATTCTTTCAAAAATAATCAAATCTAATGAAATTTATTTAATCACTTTTTATCCAAAAGCTACCTTAAATAGCCTACTTTTACTATTTACTTGATTTATAACTGTCACACTTTTTCAACTTTGGACGGTGAAATAGAGTCCCAATAATCTTGCAACTTCAGGTATGTTTATTTTTGTACGTCAGTATCAACAAATCGAAATTCACCAAGTTTACTTTAATTCATCAAGTCTACAATTTTTTTAAAGATAGAACTACGCGTGTGTGACAAAATTAAAAAAAAAAAATGTCCCGGCCATCAAAAATAAGTAACTTGTTTGACATATTTTGATTTCGTTACTTTTTTTACGTAAAAAAAAAAAAAAAATAACAATTTTTCCGCACAGAGGAAATTTGGACGTCAACCGTTGGCTTACCGAAATGGAATCAGTCACCAGTTGACTTAAATTTAATGCACGTTTTACACCGGAAGTATCCACCTTTGTACCTTCAAGGTCATGTATCGAAAAATGCCCTCGTCCAAATGACCAACACTGGAAGTACCGGTGATTAGCTAAAAAAAGTCATTTCATTGCGATAACGGCTGCAAAAATGTATACAATATTTTCAAGTATTTAACTGCGTCTACAAAAGAGGAGCTTTAAAAGTAGTGAAAAAAAATTTGAAAGCCTCAGTATAATAAAGTCAAGTGATACAAAATTCATAACCACGAAATATGTTCTTTCAAAAATTCAATTAGTCTATAACCTACACTCACAATCCATGATTTATAGGGATACTAAATTCTATTTATTCTATGAGTTACTTTTTTGGTGTCTTGCGTCTAACATGAAAGAATTTTTTTTTAATTATTAGAACCACAAATGATTTTAAAGTTGATTTTGCTGATTTTTATTTTGAAATGGGAATTGGTTCCTAATGTATTAAAAAAACATATTCACCAACCCTCCGGGCAATCAAATTTTTTTAAATTATCACTTAACTTACAAATCTTTGCAACATAATTTTTGTAGCTGCTTACTGAGATTTTTAAATTAATTGAATGCATATTTTTGATGATTTGATTAAATAATATTAAACAATGATCAACAAATAATAAATAGTATACTTAGACTAGTTTCTTGTTTTCATGAGTTTATGAGTGATCATAAAAAAAAACACTTTTGAAGCCAAATAATTAATTTTGTAAAAATATAAGTAGTAACTTATAAAAATGAATTTCGTTAACGATAAAGATAAACACTTTTTGGATTATTTAAGATTGAAAGTTGATTTATTTGCTTAAAAATTGTTTCATTTCTCTCTCAAAACTCATAGACAAGTGTGTTAATATGTTTGCGAATAATTTGAGTTAAAATCTTTTCCAGCTAAAAAATTCATATTAAAATTAGTACCAAAAAAAAATGGAATTGAAAAAATCCTAATAGTATTTGAAATAACAGCTTTAATATTTTCAAAAATTTTTCACGTATGATTACAGTTTCTAAAAATATGTTACACTTTTTCGTTCAGTTGTGTATCATAAGTAGTCATAATTATATGATAGTCCAGCATAAATACTACAACATGTTTAAAGTAAAAAAAGTTTTGGATTTTGAAAAGCATATCTTCAAAATAATCGTGCTTAAGTTCGAAAGTTTATAGTTATTAATCTTTTGTGCTCAAAATATTGTGTTTTGATCTGCCTAATTAAATTTCTTCCATTATATCCTGATCTTGAAACTTTTTCGAATAAACATGAAAAAATTAAAAACATTTTTAAACTGCAGACCAGTTTGATTGACTTTGAAACTTCAATATTTTTTTTTGTTTGCCAACACTTGACAAATCATTTTATTAAAATATTGATTTCTATATATGTGCAATATCCACTTAAAATCGTATAAAAATAACTCATTTTTATGGAAAGTTTCATGTCCCTACGGCTATCTATTAGTTCATATTATAAGTCCAAAGCCTGAATCCAATCCTAATCATGACGCCCAAAATGCGAGTCAAACCTTTGATGATGATAATTCAATGAAGTGCACCTCGAACTCGATACTAATTTTTTCATGCAGTGAAAATCCAATTCAACGACAAGAGCGTTCCCAGTGTACGGGGCGGGCCACTCGCCGACGGGGCTGAGTATCAATTTTCCGATATGCAATTTCGCTGGGGTCCAAGCGATGCGCGTGGCGCTGAACATTCCGTCGACGGTGTTTGGTACGTGCATCAGATTTATTCGTTGTATTTGCAATCAGGAGAATAGGTGGATATTTTTGCACGTAATTTACTAAACTGACCTCTCGAGTCTTCATGGGGTGTATGGAATTTTCGGTGTTCACTCGTATGCAGCCCGAAAAATTAAATTGAGCTGTTTCGTGTGCATCCAAGTGAAAAGTACAGAGATTCATAAAGCTCAATTTATGAAAAAGACTTTACCTTTTGATATGATATATTATGCACAAGTGATACATGTATTACCAGAGTAAATAGTAGATATATATGTATGAAATGATACACTTTTAAAAATAATATTTTCTAGTTGTCTCATTACGCTAAAAATGTCGATTGCCTTATTTCGTGGGTATAAACGACTATTCGATATATTTTAATTGTCTTTGCGATCTTAATTTTTTGATTTACTAAAATCCATAAATTTTTCTCAAAAATATTTGTGTCACATTAGTTTTCATCCGATAGTTGTATAGAAAAAAAACAGCTTTTTTCCTTTAGAACTCAGTAGCAAAGTGGCTTAAAAACTTTTCTTGCTTTCAATAAAATCCTCTAATTTTTTTTACTTGGGGTGTAGCTTAGAAACTCAATAATACACGCTCACACAGAATCTACTTTTAAGACGTTAAATACTCATATTAGAATAAAAATATTTTTATTACAAGGGAATCAGTCATTAGTATAGAAAAATTTCTTTCAGCACCTCTGAATCCTTTAAAGGCATCGAGTAATTTCTTTTTTTAATCAACGCAGCGTAAAACTGCTCCACAAGACCTTTTTTTAATGTATTTCCGTCCAGGCCAATTAAGTATTTTCCACCGAATACGTCTATCAGGGGGCTTTCTACATTTATCCCTCACTCCGGAAAAAAAAAAACGCTAATTAAATCGCCATGCGAGCGAAACTAATTATCGAAGCTCGGCATTTTCGTCTTCAAGGTTTTCCATGGAAGCCCAGGCGATTCACTGGAATACGAGCCACGGCACCATCGACAAATGCTACGACAAGGCCGACGGAGTCGCTATTGTTTCCTTCTTGCTCCAGGTAAACTCATCAGACGGCGACTACTTACGCTCTCTCTCTCTCTCTCTCTCTCTAAAGATACTTTTATTGCCCTTTTTTTTATCTCCATTGAGCGACTCCCGAGTTTATTTAATTGAAAGTGTCGCCTACACAAATCGCCGAGCAAAAAAATGAAGAGCGACGCTTTTCAATTAAGCCAAGCTTTGCGTACATTTACACGATGGCTTTAATCGAAAGAGCCGATTCTTTGATCAAGCTTGCCCGTTTCCAGGTGATTGGCTGTCCCGGTATGATCGACAATCCAAAGTTCTCGTGCATCGCCAGCTATTTGCCGCTCGTAAAGACTCCCGGCCGAAGCGTCGAGCTGCCGCCAGGTTTTGACACACCGTTTAATTTTCTCGAGTGCTCTTTCATTGGACTAATTCAGACCACGCGTCGGGCGATGCTCTGTGAAAATTTTTTTTTCAACACCATTAGTTAAATGAAATTGCGTGCTGGAGGGCTCGGATACGTATCTAAAAAAACATTTTATTTTTAATCAAACGGTTATACATCGTAGACTGCTTGAGCTGGATACAGGACGCTTGCTCGGAGCCGGGGTACTATACGTATAGCGGGTCCACCACGACTTATCCGTACCTTGAGTGTGTTACTTGGATCGTTGTGCCACGGCCAGTTAGGATTTCAGCGAAACAGGTTAGTGGCTGGCTGGTCTATTTTTAGCCCACAGTAGACATTTATTTTGCCGATGTTAAAACATTTTAAAGTTATTTTTTTCCCGTGTAGGTTATAATAGCTGAATTTTTTTTTTTTTTTTCAATGCTACATATGCAAGGTCCAAAAAAAATTATAATGTAGCGCAGAAAATAGGGCAAAATGTTTTTGTGAATAGAATGGTTTTCAAAATATTGAAAGAAACATTTATACAGTTGGTAAGTGTGCCTTCTTCAGAACTTCCACTTGCTCGTTTTTTGATAACTCCAATATTATTTAGGGGTTTACAGGGTTTCAAGTGAAAAGGTCTCCATTATGAGACGAAATATTGACTGGTGCATAAATAAAAACTTTTTGCTCAAGAAAGCCAAGTAGTGTTTCATTGTGGATGTAACCCAAAAAAATGTTTATACACCCTTAGACATTTTCCTTTTAATTTTATCTTTTAAAACACTTGTCATTATGTTGCATGCACTACACATGTTATTACTACGACAATCTACCGAAATTGTTCATGTTCTGAACAACTAATCCATTGAATTTATGGATTTGTCTAATACATGCATCCAATTAACCATTGAATCATTTTAATTTTATTATGAGCTTACAATTACAAACAATACATTATTATTACTACGATCTAATCTGCATTCGAGTCACATATACAGTTATTTTTTCAGTGATTGGCATTAATTAATCTAAAAATCCCTAAGTAATTCTTTAGCTGGTTTATAATGATGAGTGAGCTTGTCTCCATCACAAACTAAATGTTTTTTTGGATTTTTCAAAAAAATTAATTTAAATTACAATCACGTAATTACAGTGTAAAAATTGAATATCACGATTTAATTGTCTACTTTCGTTTTTTTTTTTTTTTTTTCATGTCAGATAAAGAGTTGATGGAGGTAAATTTAGTATTTGGACTGAAAAAGTTATAAATTTTCTGACAGAATCGGTCCAAAATATGTTTTTAGAAAAGTTTTTTTCGATTTAAATGAATGTTTATTTTTAAGAAAACAGAAAAAAGCCATCTAAAATTTATATGTAATTTTTTATAATTTATTAAACAATTTAAAAGTCTAAATTTTCATCATCATTGGAAAAAATATTAATTTATGATATTTTTGAAACTATAATTTTAATTTTTATTGATTTATTTTAAATAAATATTTATCCCTAGTTATTAAAAATCAAGTATATTTCAATTGAGGAATATTTTTAGCGCAGATAAGTAGAGTAATTCAAATAGTTGAAGAAAAAGTTTTTTTTTTAATGTCATGCAAAATGTTTACATGAGTTCTTGACACAGTTTTATCGTTCAAATACGTGCAACATACCGTATGTGTTCAAAGATAAAATTATTTTAAAATACTTGAAAAAATTTTTTAATACCTACTTTATTTTTTTCCTAAAAATACATTTATGTCATGGTGCGTCATTATTTTTGATGAAATATAAATTTCCACAGTGTAGAAAAAATAGAGATGAAAACAATTTGTAACAAAAATGATCAAATTAAATATTTGGAAAATAATTGTAATATTTTTAAAAAGCAACTATGCCCCCCTCTTGCGTTACACAAATTTTCTTTTTAATAGACTTGCGAAAAAATATTCTTAACTACAATTACTTTAATGATGAGTAAAATCACGAGAAAACTAATGGGATTTTCTTTTCAGGCCGAGGCTTTTCGGAACTTGTACGACTGGAACTTCGAGCACATTCTGCGCAACTACAGATCGGAGCAAAAAATTCAACTTAGAAAGATTTTCTACGCCACTGAAGACAGCGATCTCCTCTAACAGGAGCAACGACAAATAGATTGTTCTTTTGTTCCGACTTGCATTCACACTTTGTCCACATAACCTTTTGGCCTACGGTAACGGAAGATCCGACAAAATTATCAAAATACTACTCGTTACACACCAGTGTACATTTCAAATAAGAAAAGAAAAAAAAAGGAAAAATGGCAACAGAAAACGAGCTCAAAAGTACATAGTTAAGCAAACAATTGTGAAGGTAAAAAAGAAGTGCCCCAATTAACCCTGAAATTTCCGACATCCCTCTCAGCACTAACGAGAAAGAAGCAGTCCCCGATCGATATCATCGACCACATCACAAGGCCAAAGTATTTGCCACCCCTGACGTTTATCGGACACTGGTTGAACGACGGCGAGGCCACCCTGACGAACAACGGAAAGTACCGTAATGCACTCTAATTGCCTATGTAAACACCAGATGATATTTTTTCCTCGACTGAGAATATTGTTTTTTTTTTTTTTTTTTTTTTTTTTTTCATGAATTTCATACAGCCGTGATAGAACTGAGCGGCTCCAGGATACCCTCGATCATTAAGTGCGGCCCATTGTGCGACGAGTACGAGTTTGAGAGCGCGCACTTCCACTGGGGCGAGTCGGACTGGTGCGGCTCCGAGCACTCGATCGATAACACTTGGTGCGGAAGCTTGTGATTATTTTGAGAAAAGTGGGCGTGTTTTTTTTTGCTTCCTCGTAGAATCAGGTTTTTATGTTTCATGGGAAATTAGTTTTCGTTGGGCTTCGTTTTCACTAGCTAACCTACTGTTGGTTGAAAATATTGTTTTCCAAAGGTCGGAGGAGTGTTTCCAGTGCTTCTTTTGAGCAAACAATTGGCGATGCATTTTTTCATTTTAGCTTTCGGAGTGTTAATGTTTACGTGCAATTTGACTGTTCATTATGTTACATTATTCAGAGCTTTAATTATATTTTTCACCTTTCAACATTCAACTTTATTTTGGATTTCAAAAGTTTTTCTAGGTATACATTTTTTTTCGGTATATTATATGATACATAAAAAGTATCTACCTTATTTGTGAGTTTCAATATTTTCATCAGTACAACCATTTCTTATTTCGTGAAGAAAAATAACGTCAGGTTTTATTACTTATAACTGCAGTTAGTAGATTTTCAAATGATTTCATCAACTTTTTGAATGAATATTCGAACGAAAAAATACGTTTCTCTCATTTTACGATAATTAGATTTGTACTGAGCATCACACTTAAAAAATTTAATTCAAACAACTTTCATTATTTGGCACTCAGTTGAGATATTTCATATACATATCTTATACGTATGTGTATATGTGTGTATACGTTGAAAGGTTTTATTTTGTGATAAAAGTTTTGAATTTATCATTTAATTTTAATTCACCAAAGATAAGTGTTAACTGTAATCGAATACTTAAAAATTTGCAATCGGACATAAAAAAAGTCTTACACACACCGAATAAAGCGCAGTTGTCTGTTGAATTGAATAAATTTTAATTAAGTTTGCAAAATTTAGTTAAAAACATAGCCAGCTTTTTCCTTATCCATTAACAAAATAAAAGTTAACATTTCAAAAAATATCTCATATCAAGTATCGACGATACTAATAAATGAATTGGAAAAAGTTTATAATTTCAATAAATTTATACCCGATAATTGCACAATATCGAACTGAAGACCAAAAATTTTCAACAACAATTTTAACGTACAATTATTTTGATTCAGAGGTTAAAATATTAAAAAGAGTTGGATTCTTGCGTACAGATGACGATGTATTGAATCATAAGGTTGCAAAAAAGTATACGTAATACAGTAAAGTCCATTGAAATAAAAATATTGGAAATAAGGAATTTTGAAAAATCAGTATTAAGTTGTCACAAGGAATTTGGTACCCATAAATTTATTGTACGGTAGTCTTTCTTTTTACCACGAATATTCTTCAATAACAAAATTACAAACCATCGATAATAGACGCTCCTGATTTCTCACGTATACTGTTTGCTTTGGATGTTGAGCATATCAATAGACTCATATTTCAGTAATACACAGGAGAACACTCGGCTATTGCGCCACACAATCTAATTACGAGCAACTCTGTATCGTTTATAGGTTTACGATGGAAGCGCACGTGAAGCACTGGAATCGAAAGTATCAGACGCCAGACCAGTGCTCCAAGTATGAAGACGGATTTTGCATACTGGCTTATCTGTTCCTGGTAAATTTTCTCTGGGCAAAGCCCTCATTTTAGTTCTTTTTTAAACAAAAACAGTTTCGTGAAATCAAATATTTGTTTAATAAAAAATTCTAATATTACCTGTATTTATAATATGTTACGTAATGTGACTGAATAAGTTATTAAAGTGAAATTATTACTTCTACAGGTGAAAAACGTTTGCAACTGCGAGAGTTATTCGCCTCTTGACAAGATTACAGACAGACTCAAGGAAATACGTGAATTCAAATCAAAGATAAAAATTCCAGCTAGTAAGTGAAACTAATTCGAGGTAATAAATAATTTCCTCGAAGAAACCGCTTGAAGCGTAAAATTCTTGGAACAAACTTGAATATGTAATAAGAAAAAAAACACTGCTTCCCAGATTCCTTGAGCTGGATGCGCATGGCAACAGACTGCGGTTTTTATTATTACTACAAAGGCTCGTATAACGCAGCCAATTTTCCGGAATGTGCAGTGTGGATTGTGTTCCCGAATCCAATAACGATACGAACTGATCAGGTTATGAGCTTGATTGAATTTTCAAACAGAAAAAAGGGCAACCCTGAAATGAGATGCAATGCGTTTTTTTTCTCATTCAACAGGTGGCTGAGTTCAGAAAATTGAAAAATGAGAAAGGCCAGAAGATCAAATCAAACAGAAGAGAAATCCAGCATCTCAATGGCAGGAAGATTTTCAAGGCAGTTTCATACTAAACGTAGAATTAATGCATATTAATGAACGTTACTTCATCGTAAAATTACAGTAAAAACAAATAGAAAATCAAGTTAAACAGCAAAGAATCACATGTACATTCGTTTTTATTTTATTTATTAAAGTAGTCATGCGAGTCGATGGCAGCACAAGCTCTGCTTATGGTTTCACCTAGTAGATGGTAAATTCTCACGTAAAATACTTCGTGATACAGGAAAAGAGTCTCACTGGCGAGATCATCGTCACTTGCTCCTTCTTCATAACCATTATCCTCGTAATCTAACTTGGTCTCGGAGTAAAGGGCACCGATGACTTTACGACTCTCTTCTTCAAACCTATTGCAGAAACCACACAATAGCCAGTACACTAATTTCTCTTTCGAAGGGTGGTCTTGTGCATAAAGAGTAATTGGACGGAAGCATTCGAGGCAGATTTCTCGAAAACGTTCGAGTCTGATACGCCTCATGTTTGGATCCTCGATCTTTAAAAGAATCGATCGCAGGTCTGCCAATGAAAGGTTCCAATGGTCAGTATGGCAACCCATTGTCTCTCTAAACAACTCTTTCAGCTCATCAACCAAAAGAGATCGATAAAAGTATCCAGGGTTCCTGGCTTGGAAGACATCTGGCTCGAGGAAGAAGCAGCTATAAGGAACACAGTCCAGATGATGCTGGGTCGTGGCTCTGTGAATCACCTCGTCCACGATCTGTCGGACCCAGGAGTCCCGTACTCTGACTCTCAAGAAGGCTTTAATACCCTCGTATTGCATTTGCTGCTGTTGTTTCCATTTTTCAGCACAAGATATGCCCCAAAGACGCAAGTATAAGTTCCCTGGATATATTTTTGGTTCCAAAACAAGTTTCCATGTTTCTGTGGCTGTGCTAGGTCGTTCCGAAAAGAACCAGATTGGAAATTTAATCTTCTGACCTGGAAGGATTGTTATGTGGTTTTTGTTAAAGAAAAATGAGCTATTGGTACAGCTGGGCTTCGAAAAACGTGTAGAAGGAATGGGCTCCTTGCGCCAATGGATCTTGATTACATATATTCCACTATTTTCTAATGTAACATATCTAGTACATATATCGCAACCGTTGGACTGGAAAGTCAGCGACCATGTTATAGATTTGGCCTTTTTTGGAAGAATCCTACAGACACGTTCAAATTCAAAAATAGAGTATGCATACTTTTTGTTATCTATGTCTTCTTGGGCCTCTTGGACTTTGCGTGACTGCTCGAGGGAGAGTCTCTCGAAGTGCCGTCCCTTTTCAAGAATAAATTCTTTATCTTGGATTTTTACAGTTGCTCTGTCATCAGGATTGTGAAGCAACTCCTTTTTGGCATCTGGTGGGGTTACCGTGATCACTGGAATCCTGACAAAGCTTTCCTTTGGCTCGGTGCATTGCATATTTTTCCCAACGACCATTAAGTCTTCTATTTCTGGTTTCTTCTTTTCCAGAAACTGCATCTCTTCCGTCAATTCTAAAGTTCGTTGTTGCAAGTAATCCCCACACTCCCATTTTGACGCCACTAAAAGTTAAAAATATGATTTTAATAATTAAAAAAGATTCCTTTTACCTTAACTCATGCGTCATTACACTTGACTGTTGACGCGTTGACGCATGATTCAACCAACATCTTCTCTTTTTTGATGTAGTTCGGCAGAGCAACTCTGGTCAGCCGAGGTGGCAAATTCCTCGTGTCCCTGTCTGCTATTCCAATGACATCGTCTTCTTCCTCTTCACCAGCCTTAACTAATCGATCAACGCTTCGCCAAAAAGCTGGGTTTCCACGGTACTTGTCTTGATTCGTCACCTCCGGTTTGACAGCTGACTGCATCAGACATCGCGTTTCGTTCCTGCTGCGCACCTTTTCATGAGCGTTCAATGCTAGATCCAGAGGCTCACGACCTAGAACTGCACAGAGATGCTTCTGACGACGTTGACGGTCTGCCAGCCAGCGATTCCAGTTTGCCAGTCGATGATCCTCTTCGAGTGGCTTCTCCTTCGATATGTTTTTGCAAGGCTGTGAAATTTGGCAAAGGCGAGGCTTCGACCACGCCTTTGGCTCTCCTTTTTTTTTACCAATCTTACGTGCGTGGTCCATTTTTGTTGATGAATTTCTTCGGTTGGCACTAAGTATGGTTTCAAAATATAGTAGTACCAGTAGGTTTTTTTTTTAATTTGGTTTTTTCTATACTATTAAGTTAAAAAAAATTCTAATCTTTTTTAAACGTTTGTTTATACAAGCATTTCTGTTAGTTTTTCAATTTGCAAAGCTTAGCTGAATTTTCTGTTACGGTATTAATAATACATCTTTTAAGAACTACCTTTCAGTGTAAAATGTACATAATTAAGTCCCCAAAAATAGGTGATACTAAAAATAGTAAAAAATAAAACTAGTCAACTAATACAAATTTTAACAGCTAGTTGTGGTAGGAAAAAGTTTGAGAAACAAAAATATTTAAGTAATTCCATTGCAATCCTCATACTACATTAAATTATCCTAAGAACTATTAATCAAATTCTATGCTGCTTAACTTTATTTCTTTATCAACGAAGCTGCTCAGTCAATCGCGTTATCGAGTATACCGATGAGCATAAAAAAACACTGCACATAACAGCAGGTATGGTGAAGTAGTATCAAATTTTTTAAATTATCATAAGCTTACTTGTACACTGATTGAGATTCAACAAAGTTATATCAGTTTTTTTTTAACGATGATCGTCAATAATCATGAGACTACATTAACTAGCATGAAAATACTAGTTTTTAGTCGCCAATGGTGTTGCAGTTAACTTGCCTTTTTGGAAGTTTTTATGTTTTATTACTTAAAAGCTTAGTCTATGCTATCATTTCCTCCAATTTCGTTAAAATTTATTAAAACTAAAAATGCATGTGTTTGAACTCAATTAAAACCGATCAAAGATGCTATTTTTGTGAGAGCTTAAATAAACCACGCAATTTACATTAAAAATAGTAATAAACTTATATGATTACTCACACTTTTAATTATTACAAAGTTTGGTTAAGGTTAAACTCGTGGATAGTGCTTCTTTCGATTGGTCGCTTCAAATTTCTTGTGAAAATCAATAAAAATTAAATTATTTTACTTCGTTCGATTTGCACCTCTTGCCCAGGTATAATGAGTGAAAATAATGAAGGTAGCTATTCCAATGTTGTGATTAAAAAAATTAATTTCACCAAATTAACATATTATATCTTATAAATGGCATAACAACATTCATCTTATTGATTTAACCAATAAGAAATATGTATATTCTAGGTTAACTTTTTGTTTATTTACTTTGAACTAAAAATTTTAATGTCGTCATACTTAACAATGAAATCGAGAAAAATACAGTCATGAACATACATACTAAACGAAGTTCTAGAAAATGGAGCCGAAGAAGATTACAGCGACGAAGACGATGTTTTGGACGAAAACTCAAATAGGGCAAAATTTGTGTTTAAGCTCGGCAATAAAGAGGGACATTTAGAAGCACCGATTGACTTAAATATCAGCACAATGATAGGGATCGAACTGAAACCTCTTTTGTGGTACAATTATGATATAGGGCCTAAGAAGATTAAACTCACTAATACCGGATCCACAGGTTTGTGTCATTGAGAAGTCGAATGACTAGTTTCGGAAATTTCAATCCTTGAATGAATGAAGAGGATTAAAATTTTTCATGGCAGTATGTTCGTGATAATATTGAAAAGAATGACTTGAGGCCTTTTTTACCTCTAATATAATTGTTGGATAACTTTTTTAAACTTTATGTATGCATCGTATTGAAATCCTAAAAATCCTAGAGTGCTCGTAATTACTACCTCTTACAGTAAACGCAAGTCTTGCTATTTCAATGAAGTTTCTTAAAAAACAGTTTTTTTTTTTTTTTATAAGATTCGCTTGTTGTGTATAACTATTCTAACAATGATTAAAAACTTATTTCAGTAATTCTAAGTGCAAAGTGGAAAAATGAACATCCCTATCTAATTGACGGACCATTACTCGGAAAGTACGTCTTCTCCCAACTACATTTTCATTGGGGCAAAAACGAGATGGTTGGCAGTGAGCATTACCTCGATGGTTGTTGGTAACGTAAATAATACTCAGTCCCAATGAATCTTCAATAGCCAAATGTGTTTGATTTAAATGCTTCACATTATTTATCTGCTCACATAATTTATGCATAATGTCTTGAGGGTCGAAAAAAAAAGTACGGTTACATCCCACATATCTATATTCACCCCATGATGAAAAAAAAAATGTTAGAGTTGAGAGCAAAAATAACTCACAAACCTTAAACAAGCCGTTTGTCATCTCATATCGAATAAAATCATAAATAGCAACTTAGTGTTGCTATGGGGTAAAAATAAGACATGAGAGCAAGCTCCTTTTATTTATAAACGCGGTCTAAAAATACATTTTTACGATAATACAATAGATTACTTACCAGTTTTAAATGTATAAACACGAACTTTTCCATGTCTTTAAAACAATTTTTCTTTTTTATTTGAACTTGAGCAGTATGCCAATGGAGGTGCACGCTGTGCACTACAACGCGGACTACCTGAGCCATAACGAGGCCCTCCAGCACGATGACGGTATCACCATTTTGGTTTATATGTTCAGGGTGAGATTTTTGGTACAAAATCAGCTTCTGGTTCACGCACTATTTTTAGGAGTATTCATTCGTGTGTCCAATAATTTTTTATAAATTTATTCCATCCTTTTCAAAACCGACACAAGCGCGTTGTGGCATACAGTGTTTTTTTTTGACGATATATACAAAACTTGTCCTACTTTCCGGGTTACAGCGATTGAAATGGTACTCTCTGCTTTAAGTTCATCAAATCAACAGTTTTTCGTCAAGTATACATACAACCAATTTTTTACACGCACATATTACTGTTTTTTTTTTTTAACTTGTATATTCTTTTAATTAATAAGCTATTCTGCTGCATCATTTGTACTTATATTCGTATAAGAAAATCCACAAAAAATATCCCATTTTTGTCCACAACTTCAACTAAAAACTCTTATTTTCAGGCACACCTTCCAAATAAGGCTCGTTTTACTCATGATGTAATATACGGTCATGTAATTGGAGAAAAAGTTTGGAACAGATGCTTCACTGAAAGTGACATCTTTTTTCTGAGATTTACATTTTTCAAATTATATTTATACATATTACACACACACACACACACACACACACACACACACACACACACACACACACACATATATATATATATATATATATATATATATACATATAATTTTAACATGTACATCGCGGAAAAAGGGTATCACTCTCACTGAAACCCGTGTTCAAAGTTTTTGCCTCACAATACATGAAATTACGAGTAAAATAAGCCCAGTTTCAAAGACTGTGCCTCAAAAAGTTTTTCATTAAAATGGGTCACTAGAACGGAATATTTTCATTGGATATCCTTGTATATTTTGCTTAAATTGACAAAAATATGTGATGTTTTAGTAAAAAGGAATCCAAAATTTTTAGCTCCAACCTGGACCTAACCCAGCTCTGGATCAAATACTTGACAAACTGCCGCAAATACGAGAGCCGAATAAAAATGTCAAATTAACGTCAAACGATCCTCTTGTCGAGTTGTTGCGGCCTTTTTCGGACGATTATTTTCTTTACTGGGGAGCTCTGACAACGCCTGATTCCGGACTAAAACAGCGCGTTTTGTGGCTCGTCAGTCGTGTCCCTATTCCCATCGCTCAAGAACAGGTACGATTTGATTCGATTAAATAAAAAAAAATTAATAAAGAAAATTAGTTAAAAAAGAATTAATTGGAAAAATGAACATCCCTATCTAA